GGTAGCTTAAAGGCCGAGATTGCCACGTTACGAGAAGAAATCAAGAATTTACATAAAGAAGTCGAATATTTAAAAAATGTTATAGCAAATTCGGAACAACTTGGAATTTTGATAAAAGGAGTTCAGACTATTCCGGGATTAAAGTGGAATTCTCCCCTTAAGAGAAAAGAAAGTGGAGATTCGTCTAAAAACTTAACAGTACATAAAAAACAAAAGTTAAATGCAGATTGTAATGATGCTCAAAATGTCATTGAGGAAAAAACTGAGCAGAAAAAACAAACTAGTGGAATATGTTTACATGTAGGGAATAGAAAAGTATCATTAGAACTGTGTCATTATTGTAACGAAAAGGTTGAAAACAATGTATAATTTGGTTTTCAAATTATTGTAAATATTATATTGTGGTATAATTGTAATAATTTGAAAATATATACATTAATGGTAGCAATAGTTGAATACACATAGTAGTTAAGAATATTTCTTTTTCAGATGAATCAAGCCGAACCAATCTTTTGGGACTTGGCACCAACAGATGGTATGGTATATTAATTAGTGATCTAAAAAAAAAGAAAAAAAAAGGCTTTATTGTTTTAATTTGAAACTGCTTATGGATTTCTATTTTTAGCTTGGTGTTCCAGATGGAAATCTACAAAGCAGGTGAGACAAAAAAAATGATTATATTTTATATAAAAATATAACCATTTTATAGTTACATTTATAACCATAGATTATATCATTGGTGCACAAGAATAGTGACACAACTCAAAAAAATAGTTCTTCCAAAACAGCCATTTAAAAGTTTCTTTTATTTTTGCAAGGCTTTGTCATGATCTTGGATTTTTAAAATTTTCAATCTTTTTTGGAAATAAAGATTTGAAAACTATTAGATCACAACTCAAAAAAATAGTTTTGGAAGAACTATTTTTTTGAGTTGTGTCACTATAAACTATATAGAAATTAAATATAAAGGAAATTGCTTTTAGCCCTTGATTTAAACAAATTGATTAAAAACCTACTACTGTGAGGTAGGAATAAGGACTTATCACACCAGTGATAATAAGCACAAACACTCAAAATATCAATGGGATACATTTAATAAAACGAGAATGGGTGTACAGTATTTATGTCAATTATTAATTTAATAGTTTGTAATGTACACCCATTCTCGTTTTATTAAATGTATGCCATTGATATTTTGAGTGTTTGTGCTTATTATCACTGGTGTGATAAGTCCTTATTCCTATCTCACAGTATATAGAAATTATAACACTGGAAATGATAAATTACCTCTTTTCAATTTTAAAAGGTCAAATGCTCACAAGTTTGAAAGGTCAAATGCTAAAAGAATTTTAAAAATAGTTTCACCTCCCAAGTATATGCCTTTGAATAAACCAGATGTCGATATTAAAAAAATGACCGGGGACGCGCGAAGCAAAAAGCGTACCGAGGAATTTAAGGATAAGGAAGAACGCAGGAAGTCGACGAGTGGATCGCAGAGTAGTGATTCTGACGATGGTAACGGTCGATGCATGTCGAAGAATGTTATAGTGGCTAGAGAAAATAGAGAAAAAAAGAAAAAGTATTTGAAAGATTTAAAAGAGTCGTGCGTCAGTTTTGCTTCCGAAATCGGTAGCTTAAAGGCCGAGAATGCCACGTTACGAGAAGAAAATAAAAATTTACATGAACAAGTTGAATATTTAAAAAATGTTATAGCAAATTCGGAACAACTTGGAATTTTGATAAAAGGAGTTCGGACTATTCCAGGATTAAAGTGGAATTCTCCCGTTAAGAGAAAAGAAAGCGGAGATTCGTCTAATAACTTAACAGTACATAAAAAACAAAAGTTAAATGTAGATTGTGATGATGCTTGAAATGTCATTGAGGAAAAAACCTTCGTATTGGAGAGGAAGAACACCGGTTACAGACAGTGAATTGAGGTAATTTGTGCACCAATGGTATACCTGAAAATATAAAGTCAAAGAATAAAAATAGTTATACTTTTTGTTAAAATATGGCCATTTTAATTGATTAAATATTTTATTCACGTATAACATTTTATTGAGGTGTATGTTGACCTTACTAATTACATTAGAGAGATTTTTTGAAATGAGAATTTTGTATTTGATATTTGTCAGTGAAGCTACCTAAATGAAATGATTTAAAAACAATAGAGTATGGAGTAAAATGATTAACTTGAAAATTTCATTATAGGTATGTAGATTTGTTTGTTTTGCATTTATTTTTAATAAGACATTGAAAAACATTTGTAATTACAAATAACAAATTTCTGATTTCTTTTTTTACGAATGATTATGATTAAAATTTTAATGCACTAATACAATTAACAAATGTTTCTTTGGGAATTATTTCGTTTAAAATTGAATAAATAAGTGCAAAATGCTAATCTGCTCATATCAATATTCATTTTATTAATTAAATTGTAAGAATTTAAGAATTAGAAATTTTGTTATAATGTATATACGTGCATAATATAAATGCAATTTTCCTGTAAAACATCCTAAATGAAAATTTTGTACAATGAACTAAAGAACATATTCTAATACAAATCCAGCAAATTTAAGATAATAATCGTAAGTATTAGTAAATACATTCTGAAAATGAGTTAGGCAAATTAAAATTTAATTATTCACTGATATAATAAGTTTTTTTTAAACTTACGAACACTTTTTTATCAATATCAAAGTATCTATTTTCCTTTTACAGTTTAAATATAAATAGTAAGTAAATTTATTAACCAAATAGCTGGTTGGATTTAAGGAGATTGATTTCTAATATAATTAAATAATTAATTAAATTTCAGTCTAAACCTGGTGTAAATGAATGAGCTGTAATAAGCTTATATAAATCATAAAATATTTAAAATTAATAGTTATGTGCAAAAATAGGCATTTGAGGTTAATGATGAAGATTTATTATTTAAAATTCAATAAAATATTGTAATATTAATGATAAAAAAAGAGCTTAGTTTAAATTAATTGATTATTAAGTTATTTTTGCTGGATATATTTAGGCATGCTTTGAATTTTAGTTTATTAGTCACTGTTCATTATTTCAATGTTATTTCAAAATTGTGTAATATTCAAATGTACCTAAATGTAGTGATAAATTTACAAGTTGTAAACAAAGATTACATATATGTATTCAAATATTTGTAGTTCTTGACTTCAAATTATAATTGAATATTATCATTTTGTACAAAATGTAAATAATGTAAAGTGTACTCATCAAATTGAGAAATATAAGGCCTATATTAGGTTGAATTTGTTCAATTCTTGTAATTCATTGTATCAATGTATTGAAGACTATTTATGTACTGTGCAATAAATATTACTTTTAAAACATTTTATTTTTATTATTATTTTTAATCATTAGTTTCAGTGATTCTTACTATTTATGTATCAGTATTTATGCACTAATATCTATTCTGCATGGATGCCCCAGTGAATTTTTATCATTTTCCCCCAGTTTTGCTTTAGGTTGTAATTAATTCTCATGACAACAGAAGTGTGTAATAAATTACCAAACGATTGCCTAAATATCGGAATGTAATACGGCTAATTAAATGATTGTGTGTGTGTGAGTAGTTTGGGTGGGGCATGCTCAACGTATGTATAAATTTATACATAAAATAAAATGATTATAATGATAAGCTTCTGACTTATAAGAACACACTACTTTTTTCATACTCAATATCCGACAATAATTTTATTTTCAAAAATGTAATTCTTGAATAGAAAGTGCTGTAGACAGTTACAAGAGAGAATTTTAAACTCCTTACCTGCCACTCAAAACTACAATCTTCAAACACAATCCTCTTATACATTCTGCAAACATTATAAAATTCACAGCAGCAATGCACTTGACAGTAACGAGATTTTAACAACGCAGGAAAGTCGTATTTTTCATCTGAATTGAATTATCCTTTCATCAGTTTTAGAAATAAAAAATCAAAAGATAGTTAAGAATAGTCAGAAGATAAAACAAACCCAAGGAAAAGAAGAGAATACAGTTAAACGTGTAAAGTGGAATGGCACAACAACAAATACTTTTTCTAGCTTGATAGGTTTTCCTTTTTTTTTAAACAGCTTTTAGTAATTTTTTAAAATTTATAAATGATGATAGACAAATCAGGTCACGTTCATTTTTTATACTAAAATCGCTTACATGAAAAATTTTATTACTAGGCTTAATCTAAAGTGATTCCAGTAATATAAAGATGGAAGTGTTTGAATGCAAGAACAACCGTTCCACTGCAAAAAGTTCTCATCCCAAGAACTTGTGCTAGGTATTCGAATACTATTTCTCGGATGAGATCTTTGTGACCATACCAGCGAACGATCCAATTTGAATACCAAAAAAACTAGTCTTGCATCGGAAATTCTAATTTCATTACTGTAATAAAGTTACTCTTTAATCTGAGTTCTCCGGTAATTTTAATACTCTAATTGTTGACTTCAATGTCTAATTGCCTTGAACGTAGAATTCGAATTCTCTACTAGTTACTACGTTCAAGGCAAATCGGTGTTATTTTCATTGTTTTCACCAATTACAACTGCTTTCGCCACACGTTCGAGTTTTACTCGAGCAAGTTACATAACAAACGGCTTGTTCGACCTTCGAAAAAATATACATTTTTTTTTGGATGCTTTTTATCTCCAAATTTTTTCAATAATTTTTACCCGCGCGAAAAAATTTTATCGCGATTTTAATCAACCTTTAAATTAATTAATGACGCAGGATTAACGCTTAATTGTTTTTTTTTATGGGATTTAAAATCAAATTTCATTCATCGTTCTGAAGTTCTACTGCACGGATTTCTTTCTTTCCTTCTCTAATATGGAGATTATGGCTGGATCACCTTTTCTCCGATGAACTCTTGTCCGCAATTAGTCAAATCGATGTGTGCGAGCTACGTAACGTTCGGGGGCTTTCACGTGCTGTCTAGGTGAGAGGTCTGTTCTTGCCCAATATATGGGTGTTAGTCTGGATGATTGCGAGATCGATCTTCAGAGTACAGCCGAGTTCTTGTCGGGCTTCCGTATATCTTGGGCACGTCAGCCAAAAATGTCTGGATGTCTCCTGAGCACAACGTGGACAATCTGGTGAAGCTCTTAGGTTTCTAGAACAGAGGGGCAGTGTCAGTTCTAAGGCGGGCCAATAGGGTCTCCGCAGTGGCGTACCGTAGTGGGGGCGGCACTTTTTAGGAGGCGGCAAAATTTCACCATAAATAATAATAATATCTTGTAAAAATTTGAAACATCCTGATCTATACTTGCATCGCGCCTATGATAGTGCTATCGTCCGGACAGTCCGGGAATCGGCTCGCCGTCCGGGTGAACTAGTAATTTTTTTTATTCCAAGAAATCCTGCGAAACCTGTTGACCCTTTTTTTCTCTTTCTTTTATTTTTTTCTTTTGCTTGTACGATTCATTCGCGTTCATATACACCACCAATATCCAATAGAACTATTTTAAACAAGTCGCTGCACTACCACCGAATTTTTCATTGCTTGTTCTGTGACAAAACTGAATTTTGGTCTTTTAAATTGAAATACCTAAATAAGAGGGGGCCGAAATTTCCTCCGCCCCGGGCGGCTGACACCCACGGTACGCCACTGGGTTTCCGCATTCCGAGAAGTAGCGTGCCTATAAGGCCAGGAACACACATGCGTAAAATTCGGCTTAAAATCTAGCATAAAAACAGAAAACGTAAACATTTTTCTGAAATTTTGGCTGAAACAGAACTGAAAATAGAGTAGAGCATGTCTCTACTTTTTACGCCAAAATTCCTGCAATAAAGAGAAGTCTTTCCTGTGACGTCAAAGTAGACACGTGGTTTTTATTCTAACAATGGCGGCAATGAGGGTTATGTATAAAGACACTGTATTTAAACAACGTTTATGGATGGCTTTAGGTGTAAAATTTCAAATAACAGGTAGGTCTAGTACAGGTCGAAATTAGCGGCTAGCGAGCCGCATGCAGCTCTTCGGACATAAAGTCCTATTTCATCTCACCTCATTTCACCGCAGCCTTATAACTTATGAGTTTATGAGATAGAGCCGCCGAACAAACTTCGACTTGATCAATATGAGTCGCATAAGAGTGGTAGCATTTGAAGCATATCTATATATACTAGTAGCCCGGGACGCCCCCTAGTGGGCGTTGTTTACAAATTTCCATGAAGCACGGTTCCTTTCACTTTTTTGTTCCTATCAATATGCTCTACAGCTCTGTTGTAGTCTCAATGGAAGATTAGGTGAAGAGGTGGCAACCCCCCAAACTGTAGCCCCCCTGTGCGAACAATAAAGGCAAAGGAACCATATCCCTACTCGCTACCCTTCGCAAGATATAAGCCCCTGAAATAATAAATTCCTATTACAAATATACTGAATTATTTATATTGTTATATTGACCAAATAATAATTTATTGGCCAAATGAATAATAATAATTCATATTGTTAATTTAAATAAGAATTAAAATTGTTAATTTGAATGTTTGAAATATGACACACGATAGGGGCGCCTCTAGTGTCCGTTATCAAACGGTTACGTGACAAACAGACGGATACCCGTTGAATGTGTTATATATATAGATATTGACCAAATAATAATTTATTGGCCAAATGAATAATAA